TTGCCATTGAGAAATTTTCTAGAAATTTTCTCAATGGGAAATTTATTAGAGAAACTTTCTATTTGACTCATATCTCTATATATACCTGATATATAGTTTAATAATTTTGTGTTTTTAATTTAGACAAAAATTTTTGTCTGTTTTTTTTGTTGTTCAAACATTGATTAATAAAAAAAAATATTTATTAATTAATTAATTAATTAAAATTTTTCAAAGTTATACACTTACCTACTATTATAAAATATAAGATTAACAAAGCTATAGATATTTCCATTATAAAACCATTTGGTATTATAAAAAATTGATTACATAATACTAGATCTATTGATTGATTATTATTATCAGTATTATTATTAGTTAGAAATACTAATAGAAATTTTATAATATGTAACCAAATATTTAAATTTTGTAGATAAGCCATAAAACGGCGTTTCCATTGAATAATACCCAATCGATAGTTACATACATTGTCGGTAACAAACATATAGTTTCGCCTTAAATATTGTTCATATAATTCAATGCCTAACACTTGGCCTGGTATATGATGTTGTCTATCATCGAAACCGATAACTAGTTTAACTAATTTATCGATAATATACATAATTTTGTTTTTTTGAAAAATTAATTGATATTTAATAATGAAAATATTAATTATTATTATTGAAAGCAATCTATTATTAATTTAAAAAAAATGAAAATTTGTTAAAAATAAGTTATTGAATATTTATTGAATTAAATTATTAGTGATTATAATATATATATATTATATTATATTATACCTGATATCTTAAAATATCAACAAAATAATTGATTAAATTTGTTATTATTTTTTTTTGTATTATAGTTTTCAAAATACTGTAAAAGTTTTTATTTTACTATTTTATACACAAATTATATGACAATTAGTTACTAGTTTTAATTGATATGATTATTGTTGTAATAAAATAATTAAATAAAAATAATAAATCATATTAAAATTTAACATTTAATATAGTTACTAATAAATAACTAGTGAGCATGATAAAATATTTAATTATTATTATTATTAAGATCACTTTTATAAATCATTGAAAATATTTACAGTACATTAACAAACAAAACTTAACTTGTTCAAAATAAAAATTTTATGCACTAAATTAAGTTATATTTATATTTTATTATCAAATATACAATACATATATTATAACGTTAACGTAATACATGTATTATATTGTATATTGATTTTATGATATTATTACTTAGTATAAGTAAAAAGTAATAGTAATATTACTTGAAATAAAATAAAAATTATTTTATTTTTTTGAAAAATAATGTTTATATAGTAATATTCAATAATAATTAGATAAATAACAACAACAACAAAAATTAACTTTTGATATTTTAACTTTTTTTAATATTATTTTTTTTAATGTATGTATTAATATTTATATCTAAAGTATATTAATAAAAATAAATAAATAATATTTATAATATAAATATAGTATTAATGAAATAATTTTTGGAAAATATTCAAATTATAAACTTCTAATAAATAATTAATGACTACTTTTTTTTAAAAAAAAACTTATTTGAAAACATTAATATTGTGACAATGTTATTATTTTTTTTTAAAATTAACATTTCAAATAAACAACTAATAATTTATTAGTTAAATTCACGTATATATAAAATAATAATTTATATAAAATCTATATATTTAAAAAATATAATATTATCATAAAAGTTATAACATATTATAGTTGCATATAATAAACTATTATTTTATATAGTATTAGATTTATAAATATTAATTTTTTATTAAATAATAAATTATTCAAATAATAATGTATTAATAAATGAAAATCATAATATTTTTTATTATAAAAATAAGTAATCAATTAATCTAAAAAAATTTATAATTTTTATATTATATAACTATGACTTATAATATTTATCAAGTACTGTAATCTTATTATGAAAATAATAGTTTCATTTTTTTATTTTATTTATGAAAGATTGTAATAAATTTATTATTATTATTATTATTATTATAAATAAAAACAAAAATTTTTATTTTTTATCTTTAACATTGAACATTAAAACAAATATATTATTATTAATAAGTATTTTTATAATAATAATAATAATAATAATAAGGGTATTAATAATAATAATAATAATAATAATAATAAGAGTATTAATAATAATAATAATAAAATATATTTGAAAATATTTTTTTGAATAACAGTTAAAAAATTATTATTTAACTTATTTATAAAAAAAAGTATTTTATAAATGTTATACAATTATTGTTTTAAGAAAATTTCAAATATTTCAATATTTTTTGTGTGTAATATCTTTGATAAAAAAAGTACAGTATTATACAGTAATATATTTTAATGACATTTATTAAGATAGTTTTATTTAAATTTTATAAAAAAATTTTTTTTTTTAAATAATGAGCAATTAGTCAATCAATTAGTTTGTTATTTATTAATAATAAATTGTTTTATAGATAAAAATCATTTATTATATAATATTTATTAAAATTAAATCATTATATTATAAGCAAAACTATGATAAAAATTTTAATTGAATACATTTATTATAATAATTAATAAAATATTTTTTTAAAAATAAATTATTGTATTATATTTTATTTCTTATATGTAAATTATTTTTTTTAGCAAAATATACTGAAAAAAATCAATTTCAAATAAAAATTTTATATAAATAGCAAATCTATTGTTAAAAATAGTAAATAAATTTTTGTAAGTATGCTTGCGTTAAATATAATTAATAACAATTATATTAATATTAAACTATATATAGTGTTATATATTATAGCATTATTTTCTATATGTACAGGTAATAGTCATTCAACAACAAAAATAAACATATATTTAAATTTTATTTATTTATTTTTTTTTTAATAAAATATATATATATTTAACTAATTTTTTTATTATTTAAAAGCTATCGACGAAAGACTAATAGAAATATACGACGAGTGCCGCAGTTTGGGACCGATTAGTGTCCAGAAAATCATACGAAACACGCTATCATTTGATGGTATCAATCGGTCGTGCGACCAGTTTTATGTGGACCCGGAGCTCAGGCAACAGTTGTTTACAATAATACTGGATAGCAATCAAGTGCTGTCATCGGTGGTAACCATTAAATTTCGTCCACAAGTTCACAAACGTATGTATAGTATCATACATGAGATTTTTAATAATAAAAAGTTTCTAATAAATTTCTCCCATTGAGAAAGTTTCTATGGGAAAGTTTCTCAGGGAATAAATTTCTATAGAAATTTAACTTTACTATTGTCGTATACTATGGGATTACCCCACCCCCCACCCCTATATCGATAACTATTTTTTTAAATAATATATTAATAATGAGACTTAATTAATATTATATTCATATAACATTATATTATATATACTACTATACAAAATGGGATACATATATATATATATATATGTAAAATAATTATAATTATAATAAATAATAATCAGTTTTAATAACCATTTTTTTATTATACAGTATATATAAGAATTTTACAGATAATTACAAATAAATTAGATTTTAACTCTAATTAATACTAATAATTAAATAAATTAATACTAATATATATAAAAATTATTACTTATTTGTAAAAACAATGTAGTGTTAAAAATATATCATGAAAAATATATAGAAATTTCTATTAGAAATTAAATATAAATTAATATAATATAATATAAATTTTATATTATTTTTTTTATAAATTTCTCTTATTTTACATTAAATAGTAGATCTAAAAACAAAATAAAATAAAATTTTTAGATTTAAAATACTAATAATTTGTTTTTTATTTGTCTAAAAAAATCTATTTAAATAGCTTATCATTATTTGATTGGCAATGGATATATTAGTGATGGTGCACTGGTAGGTGCCAGTGTCTATAAACTTAAACTATACGATGAACATTATCTGAGCACCCGATGCTCCAGCCCTGAGGGTGTCGAGCACTTGGATGTACTGTACGGCGAGTTTCATATGCTGTTGAGGAGGCCCTACATAGATGTCATATGTCTGGCCAGACATCAGCCGGGATATCATCGATACAAACCTGGATTCAAGTTTAAAAATAATTTAATTTAAAAATACATCAAATATTATACTGAAAAAAAATTATTAAATAATAATTAAATAATTTGTTTTGTTGTATATAAGCTAATAATAAAGTTTTTAATTTAAAAAAATAATTTAATTAAAAAAAATATATCAAATATTATACTGAAAAAAATTATTAAATAATAATTAAATAATTTGTTTTGTTGTATATAAGCTAATAATAAAGTTTTTAATTTAAAAAAATAATTTAATTAAAAAAAATATATCAAATATTTTATTTAAAAAAATATTAAATAATAATTAAAAATTGTTTTGTTGTATATAAGCTAATAATAAAGTTTTTAATTTTAAAAAATAATTTAATTTAAAAATACATCAAATATTATATAAAAAAAATTATTAAATAATAATTAAATTATTTGTTTTGTTGTATATAAGCTAATAATAAAGTTTTTAATTAAAAATAATAATAATATTATAGATACTAATAATACATAAAAATATAATATTTATCATAAACTATTAATCGTATAGTTTTCTATATAAAAAAATGTTTTTTTTAATCATATATTTCAAATTAAAAATAAAATAATTATTATAAAATATGTTTTTAGATTTATTTAACACATTATGTATTTTGTAAAAATATTATTTATTTTTTAAAAAATTTGTACAATCATTAGTATACAATATTCAACTATCATTTACTGTATTAGTTATTACGTCAAAAAAATATTTGTTATTTTAAATTAATAAAATTTTATTGTATTTTTAAAATAAACTACTGTTTTATATATAAAATATTTATCTAAAAAAAAAGTTTAGTTATTTATTTGTTTATTTTGTTGTTGTTGTTGTTATTAAATAATAATAATTATTATTATGTATTCAAATCATTGGTTTAGTTTAGTACTGTTGCTGTTGTTTATGTCTATTATAAAACTAATATGTAATTAATTAAATTAAATTAAATTAATTATATGTTTGTGCTTATTATACAATTTAATTACTATAATAATAATAATAATTTTAGTTATATTTATTATAATTATTCTATAATTAATATAACTGAAATTATTATTATTATTAATTAAATTAATTAATATAACAAAATAATATATAAATAAATAAAAAACAATTATTAATAATAACTAATACTAATATTTTTTTTTGTTTTATAATATAAATATAGTTTGCAAACAACTGTCAATCGATAGAAACACTCGCAGTAATACATATTTATTTATTTTTTAAAAAATAAAATAATAAAATTTTATATCAAAAATTAAATTAGTTATATATATATATATTTTTTTTGGGTGAAATTATACAAAATAATAGCTACAGAGCTTGAGTTTATCGATATATTCAGCAACTGTAGCTCAGGGCAGCCGGACTACTGGCCCTACACTGTCGTCAACGATTTGGTATGTTTTGAGGGACTGGTAGTCGATATCAATTGCGAACTGTTTAGTAAACCGCCGCCGCTTAAGGCAACCGCTAGATATCTGTTACGTTATAATGATAGTCAATGGGCGCCTATTGTTGTCGTATATACTGATTGGCAAAACACACAAAATGGTTGGCAACAGTTTTTTTTTTTAAATAAAAACAAAATAATTTAATTTTAATTTATATTATTTTTTTCTTATACCTTAAATCCAGTTTATTTTTATTTTTAAAAAAAATATTAATTCTATTTTAATTTATAATTTATTAATTTTTGTTTAACTTAAATCTAGATTTTTATTTTAAAATATTAATTTAATTTTAATTGATAATATTAATATTTATTTAAATTGATAATATTAATTTTTATTTACCTTAAATCTAGTTTTTTTTTAAATATTAATTATATTTTAATTTATGTTTTTTTAATATATTAATTGTTTAATTTTTTATTATTGTATTCAATTAATAGGTAATTATATTGATACACTGAGGACAGGTACAGTAATGGACGGCCCATACAATATGATTGGCGCACCTGTAGTCTATAAGGCCAGATACAATGGTAAATGGTTTGACCAGCAGTGCCATAAACGGTCGGGTGTTACCAAGCTCAATTATCCTGTAACAACTATCCAGATTGGAAATATAAAATGTTTGGCCAAATATATGGTCATCAAATTTAAGCCGGGTCTGGTCAGCGCAAAGTTGATTAATAAACAATAGGTTTATTGGGATAGATATAACTAACTAATTATATACTAATGTTAATTGTGTGTATGTGTATGTGTATGTGTATAATAATAATAATTTATTTTTAGCATTAAGCAATGAGATACATAACAAGTTGTATTCATAAATAATGATTATACATTGAAAATTTCATATAAATAATTTACAAATTTTTTATAATTAGATTCGTTTCTAATATACATTGGTAATGAATTAAATAAATTTATACAATAATTGAAAAAATGTTTATCAATTAACACAATACGTTTAAAATTTGTTTTAATTTTTATACCATTACGTGATGTGTTATAAAAGTTTAATATATTAAACCAATTGTTAGGTACAGTGTTGGACATAGATTTGATTTGAAAAACATGTTTTAATATTTTAATTTTATTTCGATTATCTAATGTGTTTAAACCTAAAATTTTTAATCTATTTTCATAATCTATATTAACATAACCTAATTTATAACATATATATCTAGTAATCTTTCGTTGTATTGACTCAATTAAATTTGATTGTGTTTTAGTTGGAGTCCAACACATATTTGAATACTCAATGATCGGAAGTATATATGTTTTATACATATTTAAAAATGTTTTTCCGTTTACTTTTTTACAAATATATTTTAATGTATAAAATTTAGAAAAAGCTTTTTTATGTAAATCATTACAATGAGAGCTAAAAGTCATTTTATTATCATAGGTAACCCCTAAATGTTTGTGTGTTATAACAGTATCGATAGATATATTATTCATATAATATGTATTTAATTTACAGTTTTTTAATGTAATTCTCAAGTGTTTTGTTTTATTTACATTTAATTTCAAATGTTTATCATTACAATAATTTTCAAAGATATTCAAATCATTTTGTAATAAATTAATGTCATTTGTATTTTTAATAATCTTAACAAATACCGTATCATCAGCCCATTGAAATGTAGGACAGTTAATATAATTAGGTAAGTCTGATACATAAAGATTATATTCAATAGGACTTAATACACATCCCTGGCCTACACCACTACCAACTTTATTAGGAATTGTATATAAATTATTATATTCTACAAACTGTTTCCTATTTGTTAAAATATCTTGTATTATAGATAAATATTGTCCAGTTATTCCTAATTCACTTAATTTATTTATTAGTTTATCATGTGGTACTGTATCGAAACAATTAGATAAATCTGTAAATATTAAATCTACACAGATACAATTTTTATCATTTAAACCATTAAATATTATATTTTGTATATCAATGTGTTGGTTATGTAAACTTATATGTTTTTTATAACCGTACTGTTCGTACGGTATCAAATTATTAGCAATAATATAAGGTTTAATTTTGTTTAATATAATAGTTTCAAACAGTCTTAATATGTTGGGTAATACGGTAATAGGTCTATAAGATTCAAACAAATGTTTATTTTTTTGTTTTTTTAAAATAGGAGTTACTTTTGCTAACATCATATTTTTGGGCATTTTATTGTAAAAAATAATTTTATTATATAAAAAATATAACAATTTTGTCGACCCATTCAAACAATTTTTTAGAATTTTGTTGTTAATAAAAGTAATACCATTTGATTTGTTAAATTTAAAAGTTTTATAAGCATTTAATATATCGTTATATGATATGTCAATGTCTGGTAATTCATTATATGTATTAATATTTGCAATAATTGTATCGTTATTTATATCAGAATTATAGTTAGAGTTAAACTGTTTATTAAAATTTTCAATAATCTCTTTGATTTCTATTATGTTTTTTGAATCTTTTTTAAAAATAATATCATTGTTGTTATCTGTGTTTATGTTTTTTATATGTTTGTAAAAACTTGAAAAACTTTTTGATTTATTTATTAAATTATTAATTTTCTCTGTTTCATAAATCTCTATTTGTTTATGTATATCATTGTTTAGTTTTACAATAGTAGATAAATGTTTGTGTTTTTTGTTAACTTGATATAGCTTAGAAAGTTTACGTTTTTTAATAATTAATTTATGTATATATTTTGGATATTTAGTATTATTTCTACATTTTATAACTTTTATTGGAAATGATTTATCAAATAGTAATTGAAAATGCATTTCAATTTTGTTATAAATTTCATTAATGTTTATACAGTCAATACAAACTGTTTCCCAATTAATCTCATATAATAATTCATTAAATTTTAATAAATTATTTTCATTGATAATATTAATTATTTGAGTTTTAATAACTGTATTTTTAACTTTCTTAACATTAATATTAAAATTTAAAGCTAAATGATCACAATTTTGTGAAATATTTTCAACAGTATTTACATTAAAAATATGATTTGAATTACAAAAAATAAGATCTAAGATATTATTACTTTTTGGATATGTTATGTCATTTACGTATTGTTTGAAACCATAACTATTAAACAATTGATTGATTTTTATCGCAAAATTATTTGATTTTAGATCATAATTAATATTCAAATCTCCAACTATTACTATACTATCATATTTTGTTAATTTTTGTAATTTATTTATTTCATTATCTAAATTATTATATAGATCTAAATTTGATTGTTTATTTGGAGGAATATATACCGTAATTAACAAAATTTTCAAATTTTTAATTATAAGTTCAATTGCAATACTCTCTTGTTTATCAAATAAATTAAAAATTTCTATACATTTATATATATTTTTAACAGCTATTAGACATCCGCCGCCTTTTGTTTTTTGTCTATCTTTACGAAAAATTTTATAATTAGTAGAAATAAGATTATTAGGAAAATTGTTTGTAAACCAAGTTTCATTAACTATTAATATATCTATATTTAGTTCAATTAATTTATATTTTAGTAAATTAATTTTGTTGCATAAACTCCGAGCATTAGTAAAATATACATTTATGTTATTATTGCTTACATTTTTGTTTAATTCATTGGATGTAACGTTTGTGGGCTTATGTATTGAAAAACTTGAGGATTGATAGCCGACATCACTGATTGATTTGGAAGATATGACATGTTTGGTACATATTGTTGAAACAATTGATTGTTTTGAAACGGCATCACTTGATATGGTTTTGTGTTTTGATTGTGAAACACACGAGTGTTGGGCAAAAAATCCTGTTTTTGATTACCATATCTGTTGAAGTTTTGTTTGAATTGATTTATGTTTTGTCGTCTATTGTGATAATTATCTCTTGAATCATGTCTTGAATCATGTCTTGAATCAGGTCTTGAATCAGGTCTTGAATCAGGTCTTGAATCAGGTCTTCGATCATGTCTTAGATTATGTCTTGAACTTGAATTTAAAGTACTTCTGCATTGATTAGCTTTGTGTCCAAATTTAAGACATCTGTAACATTGAAATGAATGTCTTCTGGTGTCTTGTTTTTGGCTATACTTTGTCTTGAAATTCAATAGTATTTTCTCTAATGTCTTAAGTCTGTCATCAATGGTGTCAATGTTTACCACTCTTTGACTAGAAATCACTTCAATTTGGCTGTCGATGTGGTTATTGTCTTCGAGGTCGTTAAAATCATTGTCTTCTATTGATTGGGATATCACTGGTGTTTTGTTGACCGTATTTAATGTCATATTTATCTCTGTTTCTTCATATTTAGTCTTCTCATTGATGGCAATGTTTACCATTTCAGTGATATATGTCTTGATATCATCCTTCTTAATGTTACCACTCTTTTTGTCGATGACATCAAACAATTCATTGCATTTAGTTTGCAATAAATGGCACACTTTTGAGACCAAATTTAGTGATACTGTATCGGACATGACTTTAAATTGTCATTTAGTTTGAGAGCACTTTAATTGATAGTATTTTAATACTAATATCATTCAATAATATTTAATTTAATTCAATTTAAATTGTAGTTAATTTTATTTTTTAAAAATGTGTTATTGTTTACATCACGTGTAATTGTATTGTGGAAAACAATTCAAAACTAATGTAATATAATAGTGTTATTTGATAATACGTATGTGTATGTGTATGTGTATGTGTATGTGTATGTGTATGTGTATGTGTATGTGTATGTGTATGTGTATGTGTATGTGTATGTGTATGTGTATGTGTATGTGTATGTGTATGTGTATGTGTATGTGTATGTGTATGTGTATGTGTATGTGTATGTGTATGTGTATGTGTATGTGTATGTGTATGTGTATGTGTATGTGTATGTGTATGTGTATGTGTATGTGTATGTGTATGTGTATGTGTATGTGTATGTGTATGTGTATGTGTATGTGTATGTGTATGTGTATGTGTATGTGTATGTGTATGTGTATGTGTATGTGTATGTGTATGTGTATGTGTATGTGTATGTGTATGTGTATGTGTATGTGTATGTGTATGTGTGTATATATTATAGTTAATAATAGTTATTATAATAATAATTTAATACTATTAAATATGATTTATTTATTTTTTTTATTAATTGAATTTTTCTGAGAAAATAAATATTATTTTTACTAAATATATATGTAATAATGTAATATGTAATAAAATTATAGCAAAATTTGGTATTTAACTTATATATTATATTTATATATTTATAATTATACTAATAAATTGTAAAATATCTAAGAGAGAGAGAGAGAGAGAGAGAGAGTCTTAATAGATTTAATGTAATATATATTATTATTAATAATTTAAATATATATTTAATTAAAACTTAACTAAAATAATTATTTTTTAAAAAAACCTTAATTTTTATTTTTATTAAACATATTAAGCAACACTATCTATTAGACATTAAAATTAAAATAAATATTGTATTATTACTGTATATCAAGTATGAGTTTCATATTATTTAGTTTCAAAATATATAATAAATTTAATTTTTATTATAGCTAAATTTTTGTATAATCATGATTAAACATAGTCAAATAAAATCTACTATAATATATATATATATAATTATTATTATTTTCTATTTAAACTAAAATAATTATTTTATTTAGCTAACAGTTTATAGTCATTTAGTTAAATCAAATTAAAACTTAAATTAATTTTTAATAATTAAATACTAATTAAAGTAATCATGTTAATCATTAAATCCAATACATCTATTATTATGCTATTGTTGTTGAATATATGTATGTAATTAAAACTAATTTTCAATAATAATTATAATAAATATTTAATCATAAATTATATATTTTATTAATTTAAATCATAATAATTATTAAAATAAATTTTATTTATCACAATTTTATTTTTTTATATAGATTTTATTCAACAATCAATTGGTGGACCAACACGTCGTAAGATATATTAATTAATTAATTAATTTTTGTAAAACTATTTAATTGCAAATAATAATTATGTTTTATTTTTTTTTTGATATTATTATTATTATATTTATTTATTTATAATAATAATAGTAACAAATTTTCAGTTTATACAGATCTATGGCGATTGTAAATCGTCTAACAGTGCCTACAAAGTGGATAATTTGGTCCATTTTGTTGGCCAGTCGTTTCCGTACAGTTGCGATAAATATAAAGTAGACGAACCGACTATTACACGTCGATATCTGATGCGATACAATGGTAATCAATGGGCACCGGTAGTGGTCGAGTACACCGATTTGCAAAACATACCGAATAGTTGGTTCAAAGTTTTTTTTTAATTTTTTTAAAAATATGTATATTTTATATATAGAGACAGAGAGACAGAGAGACAGAGAGACAGAGAGACAGAGAGACAGAGAGACAGAGAGACAGAGAGACAGAGAGACAGAGAGACAGAGAGACAGAGAGACAGAGAGACAGAGAGACAGAGAGACAGAGAGACAGAGAGACAGAGAGACAGAGAGACAGAGAGAGACAGAGAGACAGAGAGACAGACAGAGAGACAGAGAGACAGAGAGACAGAGAGACAGAGAGACAGAGAGACAGAGAGACAGAGAGACAGAGAGACAGAGAGACAGAGAGACAGAGAGACAGAGAGACAGACAGAGAGACAGAGAGACAGAGAGACAGAGAGAGAGACAGAGAGACAGAGAGACAGAGAGACAGAGAGACAGAGAGACAGAGAGACAGAGAGACAGAGAGACAGAGAGACAGAGAGACAGAGAGACAGAGAGACAGAGAGACAGAGAGACAGAGAGACAGAGAGACAGAGAGACAGAGAGACAGAGAGACAGAGAGACAGAGAGACAGAGAGACAGAGAGACAGAGAGACAGAGAGACAGAGAGACAGAGAGACAGAGAGACAGAGAGACAGAGAGACAGAGAGACAGAGAGACAGAGAGACAGAGAGACAGAGAGACAGAGAGACAGAGAGACAGAGAGACAGAGAGACAGAGAGACAGAGAGACAGAGAGACAGAGAGACAGAGAGACAGAGAGACAGAGAGACAGAGAGACAGAGAGACAGAGAGACAGAGAGACAGAGAGAGAGACAGAGAGACAGAGAGACAGAGAGACAGAGAGACAGAGAGACAGAGAGACAGAGAGACAGAGAGACAGAGAGACAGAGAGACAGAGAGACAGAGAGACAGAGAGACAGAGAGACAGAGAGACAGAGAGACAGAGAGACAGAGAGACAGAGAGAGAGAGACAGAGAGACAGAGAGAGTGAGACAGAGTGAGTGAGTGAGTGAGTGAGTGAGTGAGTGAGTGAGTGAGTGAGTGAGTGAGTGAGTGAGTGAGTGAGTGAGTGAGTGAGTGAGTGAGTGAGTGAGTGAGTGAGTGAGTGAGTGAGTGAGTGAGTGAGTGAGTGAGTGAGTGAGAGAGAGAGAAATCGCAATTTTATGCAGTTTAGTAAAAATTATTTAAAATGTATTATTAGTATTAAATTACTTTTTATTAAATTTTATTTTATAGATTTATTTTATTTTCACAATTTTTTTTCTAAAACTTTTTATTTTTTTTTATTAAATTAAATTTAATTTCCATAAACTACTAGACGCTGATAACAAGTTTCGTGAATTACAAAAAGGTAAAGTAGTTGACGGCCTACAGGAACTGATTGGCGCTCAGGTAGTCTACGATTCGGCATTTAATTTGAAATGGTTTGACACCCAGTGCCAGAAACCCGATGGTGTTACCCAACTTAGATTCAAATCGGCAACCGTCCAAATTAATGTCAACAAAAATTTTAGGATTCAATGTAAGGCTAAGTTAGACCAGAAAACCTGGTTAACCGAGTTTATGGTCACCAAAATCAAACCGGGTCTGGTCAGCGAAAAATTACTCAATAAACTATAGGGTGGGTTTATTTTGGTGGTGGGGGAGCGCACCTGTAGTTTATTTAAGTTAATAAACAATTAGATAGTAGTTTATAGAGTTTATACAATTAGATAGTAGGTTATAGATTGAAGATTTTTAGTAGTTATTATTATAATTAATAAATTATTATTATAATTAATAAATTATTATTATAATTAATAAATTATTATTATACTTAATAAATTATTATTATAATTAATAAATTATTATTATTATTTTCTAGATTTAATTTTATTTATTTAAATAATAAAATTATTTTTTTTAAATAAAGATTAATATATATATTTATTAAATCATAATAAAAATAAATAAAATAGATTATATATATTTTTAAATAGACTATAGTATTAAGAAAATAAAATATAATTAAATTATTTTTTTTTTAAATCATAAATAAAATAAATGAAAAACTTTAACAACAAATCAATAGTTATATTTAATTTGAAACCAATTTTTTAAAAATGTTAAATAAAATGTTGATATTTAAATTTAAAATTTTTTAAAATTTAATGAATAAACAATATTATCTAATTTTTTTTATTTTTTTAAATTTTTTTTAATCATGTAACTCAATAATCATTTAAGCAATATCAAATAATAATGACATACAATAAAATTTTAATAACAATAATCAAATTATTTGTAATAATAAAAAAATCTAATTATTGCTAAAAAGTTTTTAATAATTTAATTGTCATTGAAAAATGACAAATAATTTTCTAGACTTACAAAATAAATATTGTTATAATAATTGTCTAATAATTTAATTATTTTGCAATTTTAAAATAAATAATTTTTTTTTTAAATTGTTTTTTTAAATAATAACTAATAATGGAAAATAACTTAATATGATTTATATAAATAAGACAATCTCTAATGTATTATATAATAATTAATTTTTTGTTAATAAATTTTATTTAAAATATTATTCAGGTATTAAAATAGTTGAACTAAATTTTTTTAAAATTAATTATTAAATTAATTTTTATCATTTTATCATAGACTATTCAAACATGAAATTTTATAATATTATAGTATTTATGTTAATTAATATATGTAAGAAAATTTTAAATTATTATTTTTTATTATTACTAAAATTAATTAATTTAATATTATAATTATTTTTTTATTATTATTAATAATATTAATAAATTATTAATTACTATAATAATATTATTATTATTATTATTTATCCATAGGTTTTATATATGAAACAATCGGTCAAAAAGCAAAAAGTAATTAATAATTATAATTATAATAATATTTTATTTTATTTAAATTAATAATAATAAACATTGAATTTTATTTATATATATATATATATAATATAGTTATTGATCGGGAAATTATAGCCATTTTCAATAAATGTGATAATAATTTGCAGTCAAATGGATTCAAAGTCAATAGTTTGGTCCGATTTGAGGGGAAAGTCGAGTCACTGGACTGCCAGTCCTATCAAGCCTACCGATCAAACGATACGAGACGATACCTAATCAGCTATAATAATGACAATCAATGGGCACCTGTTGTGGCTGTAAATACCGATTCACAATTCAATCTTGAAAGAAATGGTAATACAAAACAAACCAAAAAAAATTATGCCATTAATATATTGCTAGCTAAACATTAATTAAATATAAACCCTCCCACACCACCCCTCCTACCCCTACCCCCATAGGTAAAATGATCAATATAATAGATACGGGTATAGTAGTGGAAGGTCCGCCAGAATTTTTAGGCGCACAGTTAGTTGAATGGAGAAAATACAATAAACAATGGTATGACTCCGAGTGCCAGTCAAATGGTGGTCTCCGGGAACTCCGGTTTAAAGAGTCTACGATTGAGATACGGGATCATAAAAACAATGACAAACCACTGGTCAGGTGCCGATCAGTGTTGGACAGGAAAACCTGGTTAACCCAGTTTACGGTTGTCAAATTCAAGCCGGGTATGGCCTAACTGGCCAGATGCTTAATAAAGATAACAATTATTATATAAACTAATAAACAATCATAATATCTGTATTTTTAAAAAATAAAACAAATATTATTTTAATAGTTTAATTATATAGTAATATATTATGTGATTATTATTTTTTTTTTATAATAATAACTAAGTTTTATGCATTATTTTTTAGTACAATGTTTACTTATGTTAAAACTACATTACTTTATCAAGTTTGTTTTTAAAAATTAAAAAATTTACAAAGTTAACTGTAATTATTATTATTATTATTATTATAAAAAGTTAGATATAAATATAAAATATTTAAAATAATCATATAGTTTTTTATAAATTAAATATTAAATTTATTTTTAAAAATTAAACATAAGTTTTGCATAAAGTTTTAGTTATGCAGTTATTATTTATATACATGTTATATATATATATATACTGTATATATATATATATATATATATTTAAATAATTAAATAATAGTAATTGAAATACTCAAAATATACAATATCTTATATTTTAAAATATTATAAAAATATTATAGTATTAATAGTTTAATTAAATTAATTAATTAATATTGGTCATATATTATACATTAAATTATACTGTAAAACTAAAAAACAGATTTTCAATAAAAAATATAATTTTTTAATTGATAAATTATGTTTTATTTTAATTAAGTTTTTTTTTTCACTGACTATACTCTATACAGTATATAAAAAACTATAGCATTTTAGTTATCATTATTAGATTGTGTGTATAAAAAGTATAAAAAATAATTAACATTATCAGTCAATTATGAAATTTTTTAGCATAATTATTGTTTTGATAAATATCTGTAAGTATTTTTTTTATTGTTAATTATTATTATTATTGAAATATATATATATACTGTATATAACTTAGCTAAAAATAAAACAAATAGATATTAATTAATTTCAACAAAATTATTAATTACTATAATAAAATGGCATGATATTTTATGATGCTAATTAACATTTTTTGTTTTAAATTTTTGTTTATTTATTTATTTATTTTTAAAAAAATTATAACCTAGGTTTTATACAGCACACTATTGGACGAGTAACACGGCGTAAATATAAATTTTTTTAAAAATTATAAATATTATTTAAAATTTTTAAAAATAATAAAATTTTAATTAATATTTTTTTTGGAGACAAAAAATCAGTAATTAATTAATTAATTAATTTTTTTTGTTGTAAACCAATAGCTACTGAAATCGATTGGATTGAAGCCTTCGATAGATGTGAGTCCAAAGGTGACGGTTTGGGTACAGTTGTCAACGATATTGTCCGCTTCGAGTCGGGTCTGACCGACGAAAGTTGCGAAACATATTTGTTGGCCGCAAACACTACCCGACGGTATACGATGCGCATCGACGACGACAATCACTCGCCACTAATCGTCAAGTATTCATATTTTCCCGACGAAATTGACGGTAAAAGTAATTATTATATATTTATTTATATTAATTTTTTAAACATTATTATTGTTATTATTATGATTATATATATACTTATATATATACTTATATATATACTGTATATAAGTATATATATATATACTTATATACAGTATATATATATATACTTATATACAGTATATATATATATATACTTATATACAGTATATACTTATATACAGTATATATATACATATATACAGTATATATATATACTTATATATATATACTTTTTGTTTATTTTAAACAAATATCTAATAATTATGCAATTTTCTCATAAATTTTTTTCAACTATACCACAACTCAACCAACTMTTGCCGACCCCCCTACCTCAGCCAACAACATGAATCTTATAGATCACGGCACTGTCGAGTTGGGTCCCCAGGATCTGATCGATGCCAAAGTAATACTGAAACGAAAGTTTAATTATAAACAACGCGAAAATCAATGCAACACAAAGACTGGGCTATCGGAGCTCCGGTATTCAGAAGCCAGTCTAGAGCTGATCCATGAAACCAGACATATTGTATGCAAAACGGCTATCGACTCCAATACCAAACTATCCTATATGTCTGTCCATTATTATCCGAGTCTTAACAGTGGAAAACTTATTGATAATCTTTAAGATATATACAAAAAATTTAATAGTTATTTCAGTAGTCATACAATAGTAAAAACCCTTATTATGTGTTTTAAAAAATAAATATCTAATTAACAAACAAAAAAAATTAATAATTTTTATACAATAAATTAAATCAAAATTAATAACTAATTAACTTATTTTTAACTAAATAAAGTATTTTTTTTAAATATCAGATTCAAAATAAAAATTGTTTTTTATATAAAATAAATTAAATCAAAATTAATAACTAATTAATTTATTTTTAACTAAATAAAGTATTTTTTTTTTAAAATTACTGATTCAAAATAAAAATTGTTTTTTATATAAAATAAATTAAATCAAAATTTAATAATGTTTACTAAACTAGTATTTTTATGACATTTTTTTTAAAAAAAACTAACCAAACAATTATATTTTTGAATAATTTTTATATATCAATAATAAAATAATTTTTTAAAAAATTCAAAATTACTTATTGTATTAAATTATTTTTAACTAAATAAAGTATTTTTAAAAAATATTTTAATGCTAATCCTTAAAATCTTAATTTTTGTTATCTTAAAATTGTTTAATTAATTTTTTTTAATATTTAATTAATTAAATATATAATTAATTTATTTTTATATATTAAATAATACAATTTGATTGTACTGCTAAATTGTATTATTTAATATATCAAAATAAATTAATTATATATTCAATTAATTAAATATCAAAAAAATTATTTTTAAAAATCTAATATGTTTCAAATTTCTATTATATTTAATATTTAATTTAAATATCTATATAATATTTTTTATAACATTAAATATAATACTAAATTTAGCAAAAAATTAATATATTAATAAAAATTATTATAATAATTAATAACAATTTTAATTTCAACATATTAGATAATTAAATTATTTTTTTAAAATGGCACCTTTATTTATTACTATTAAACTTATAAATATATATTAATTTTATTTTATGTAGTCATTTTCTACATTTTTAATTATATAATATAACTTATATTTTTATATATATATAAAAAATAATTAAATATTTTGTTTTACTTTATTTTAATATTAATTAAATATTTTTTATATATATACTGATATACCATATTGAAAAAGTATTAAAACCTTATATAAAAATATAGTTTATGTAGTAAAACAAAATATTTAATTTTTTTATAATTATTAATAATTATTAAAAAAATTGTGCATATATTTTTTTATATTATTAATTATTAAAAAAAAAATATTGTGCATATATTTTTTTGTATTATTATTAACTATGAATCTAAATAAACCATTTAGTATTATTATTATTGTATTATTAGGTAATATAAATATACATAATATATATTGAAATTTATTTTGTTTTTTTTAAATATTATTAATTAATTAATTACATATATTTTTCAATTATATAGTTATTAATTTAGCATCAATTATATGCAGCAGTAATTTTGTTGATAAAACTGATAAAAAATTTTCAGATGATTGTCTCAATTATCACAATGAGTTGAGAGCCAAACATAAGTCGCCTAAACTAGCAATTGATAACAAAGTATGTATTTATTTTTATTTTTTTGTAATTATTTTCAATTTATTTATTTTATATTTATTTATTTTTTAATTTTATTTTTTTTTAAATAATAAAGTTAGTTGAGCAAGCAAAAAAACGGTGCTTAGAGTATGGCAACCTAACCAACAATATTAAACCAAATACAGTTAACACTGAAAATATTTCCGGTGTCATGAATATGCCGGAACAGTTGTCTTGTAAAGTGGCTATTGATTTGTGGTATTAAAAAAAACATACAGTTTTTACTGTATATATATAGATATGATATATATAGATATGATATACTGTATATAGATATGATATGATATGATATATATAGATCAATATATATTATTCTATAGTACACTAAACATTTTCAGAACAAACTCGGTACTTTTTTATTTATGTTACTTATGTTTTTTATGCTACATTTGATAATTATAAAAGATACCATATTGTCATGTGTTGTTTAAAAAAATGCGACATCATTTATGTAATTATATAATTATTTAATAGAGATATAGTTACACAAAAAACATATGTAATATACATAAAAAGGGCCCGAGTCTTCGGTAGATCATAATCCGTGTATATATATATATACTGTAGAAATAAAATATAATATCTATAATAGTTATTATATTCTATGGAATTATTATATATATACTATAGAATAATATATATATATAATAACTCCATAGAATATAATAACTATTATAGATATTATTTTTTTCTACATTATATAAATATATATATATATTATAGATACTATATATATTATTCTACAGTATATATATATATATATATATATCAAAACTTAATGAAATTAATAGAAAACATGTATTGTTTTTTTTGTTTGTTGTTAATGATAACCCGATTTTTTAGGTATAAGCAACACAAACACTATAACTTTACTGATCCTAAATTTAATCCGAAAACCGCCCATTTTACGGCACTGGTATGGAAAGAGTCGACCAAAATAGGCTGTGCCCGATGTTCAAACGGTACTACGGACACGGATCTGACCAAACTATCGGCTGTTGTATGCAATTATCATCCGAAAGGCAATGTCGGCATTTTCAATGGCAAACCTACCCCGAAATTTTTCAAAGATAATGTCCAAAATAAAATCTAACTAAAAATTTTTTTTTTATTTTATTAAAAAAACTAAACTAATTTGGTAAGCTAATTAAAGTTTTAATATATATATATATATATAAATTAATTTAAATAAATAATAATTAAATAAATTAAATTAAATTACTTTAATATTTAATTAGTAGTAAATGTAAAGAAAATAATAATAATAAAAAAATTTTAAAAAACAAAAGTAAACTTCAATTATTTGTAAACAATTTACAACAAAAATTAAATTAAAAATATATGAATATTTAAATAATAATTATTTTGTTTAAAATAAACATTAATTATTTTTTTTCAAAAAAAATTATAATCTATTAAAATAATTATTTAAATATTATATATATTTTTATTATTACTGTATTATTCTATTGTATCCAACAAAAAATATTAAAAATTTAAACGTTATTTATTGCAATTAATAATTATTTTACCAATTTTTATTTAAACATAATTTATATAATAATAATAATAATAATAATAATGTATTAATAACTTATACACACATTTTAAGTCCAATGTTTAAAGTATTGCAAAACTATTGGACAATTAGGTAATAATATCTATAGTTTTAATCATAATTTTTTTTAAACATATTTTTATAAGTACTGTACAGTTTCAATGTAAATATTATTATTGTATATATATTTTTGTTTAAATAAAAAATTGTTTAAAAAAACAAACAATTTTTTAACTACCCTATTTTTTTAGCTATATATACTGTATATGGGGGCGGGGATCAGTTAGGTTAATATGTCGATATATCAACAAAAATTTCAAGTAATCAATTGTCTAGGTACAGGTACATTTGGCCAGGTAGATTATGTTCAACATAAACAAAATAATCAATTTTATGCTGTTAAAATAATACCACTTAATGGTAATTGTATATAAATTTTATATATATATATTATTATAAATATTAATTATTATTATGATATATATTTTTTTATATTATTATATGTTATATACATGTATATATATATATATATACCAGTATATTTATATTATTATTAATTAATATATATTATATCATTGTATGGTATGGTATACCATATATACTGCAGTATATTTATATTATTATTAATAATAATTAATATATATATATGGTATATACCAATATATTTAAGTTATTGTTATTTTTATAATTACCGGTAATTAATATATATATATTTATATTATTATTAATAATAATTAATATTTATATATATATATATATATATGGTATATACCAATATATTTAAGTTATTGTTATTATTATAATTACCGGTAATTAATATATATATATATATTATTATTAATAATAATTAATATTTATATATATATTCCAATAAACTTTTAATATTATATTTTATTATAATTATTATTATTATCTTATATAATAAGTTGAAATCGGTGTCGACGACAAACAGATCCAGAAAGAGTGTCAACTATTAAGACAAATGGATCCCAGATTTGTTATCAAATACTATGACGATTGGCTGGAAATGGATACCTATTATATTCAGATGGAATCGTGTCTAATGAATATGGAAACAGTTATCCAACGAATCCAACAGATCTTCTTCTTGGATGAAGATGAGGAACACCACCAGTCAGTAGGCGATACCGATAACCTGGAACTGGTATTGAACTACATTAGGTGTCGACTATTCCTCGAGATTATCCAATGTGTCGACTATTTGCACCAGAAAATCAAACCACCGATCATTCATCGGGATCTTAAGCCACAGAATATTCTGGTTGTGGCCACCGATAGACAAGTAGTAGACAATCGGTTTGTGAAATTATGCGACTTTGGTTTGGCCACCGCTCACGAGTGGTCATCGATGACGCATACGTCCCGTGCGGGTACCATGAGATATATGGCCACCGAAGTACTCGAAGGTCAAAAGTATAACAAAATGGCCGACGTCTATAGTCTGGGATTTGTTGGCCAGGATTTGTTTGCGGTCGACATATTTGCCGATAATACACAGTATTTATATATTTATTTTTTTTATTGAATTTTTATTTTAAATTATTTTAATTATCAAAACTAATAATAAACTAATATATTGGGTAATGTCCTAAAAGTTAGTTTTAAATATTTTTAAGTATATTATTTTTTTTATTAATGTTTTAACTTAATATTATATTGTTAATGATTAGTTAGATATTACTAGTATTAATTTGTGTTAACAGCTGGCGCTCAACACAACATCATAAGCGGCAGCATTGCATTATTTCAACGACTCTACCGTTTCCGCAACAGTAGTAGTCGTTTAGCTTTCACAGCGTTTAGTCGCATATTTTATATTAAATAAAATCGTTTACTTTCATATAAAAACGTGTACTTATTTCGTATACTTTACCGAACCCGAGTTATTGGCCGCCTGATCAACGGCCACTCAACTCAATTGGCGCAGTCGACTGAGATACTTACCTACGCGGATATCGAAAGTAAATCGACTTCGACGACCTACTCACCGACACTTTTGAATTCAAAAAACAACGGTTTTTTGTCGCCTTAACGGCTCTCATCGATTCAACGGTTTTTTCGTTAATAAAGCGTTTTAAAGAAACGATACGAAGACAACGATGTCTCAACAGTTACGTAGTGGCCGCACACTACCGCCATTCAGTAACGAACTGAATGTACCGACGGGTGCGAACGGACTCAACCCGATTTCCGAAGACACGAATGAAGACTTGTCGTCAATCGCTTCAGACTTGGAAGCATTGACCCGCGATATGACTAACGACCCGACACAGGATGGGTTAGCACAACGTCTGGCAACGCTGACCAGAGCTGCACAAGTGGCCGCCGCCGCACGAAATGTGATTAACAATCGCAATACGGCATCGAGTTTATCGACTACAAGCGTACAGAGATTGGACTCCGATGCCGATACCTTAACAACACGACCGCATAGTACCGTAAAACACGCTTCGAAATTATGTGAACCATTTATAGGCGGTTACTCCTTAACTCCTATCGACGAATGGCTCGATGGCTTCACCGCATTGACATACGCTTATAACGACTACGAGAGGCTGCTTGCGCTCGCCAAGCACTTGACCGGCGATGCCTTCAGTTGGTATTGTCGTGAAGTCGCCCGAAAACTTCCAAACCTGACCTGGGCCGAATGCCGATCTCTTATGATTGCGCGTTTTGGTCGTATGGTTGGTCACGGTCTTGTTGAAGCCTCCGACCGAAAACTCAAAGCTAATGAAAGCGTACTTACGTACTATCACGATATGCGCCGCCTTCTGGACGAAGCGCGCGCCTCCGATGAACAACAGATAGGTCTACTCACGAAGGGTATGCCCGACTATTACAGGCCGCTCATTGCCTGTCAACGACCGACAACGCCTCAAGAATGGCTACAGATAGCACTTCTCGTCGAAGAGACACGAAAAAGAAATAAAAGTTTTAACGTTAACGCTATCGACGACGAAGACGGCCAACCGAAACGTAATCGTTGGAAAAAGCGACAGAACGGTAACAATGATAGGCCACCGACTCCATGTCCACGATGCCGACGACACGGCATAACCGAATATCACTGGATGCGCGTCTGTCCGAGAACAGAACCGAAAAATCCAGATCCAGTGGTTAACGCTGTCTCGCATATTGAACGATATCGAGATATACGAATTAATGACAAACCCGTACGAGCATTCATAGATAATGGCGCCGACATTACTATCTTATCGAAGGATGTCGCAAAACAAATGAAACTCCGACCCGACGCGCGACATAAGACCAAAGTAGGTACCATTGCCGGCGATAAGTATACACTCGGTGTCGTAAACGTTAAGATTCAAATATACGGACACCGAATACGTAACGATTCACGTAATGGACATCGCGTACGATGTTCTCATAGGCCTCGACATCGCAGAAATGAAGACAACTGTGCGCCTGCGAAGTCAACGACACATCACGAATAAACCGAAAGTCGCACATATGACAGTCAAAAAAGTCGGTATTGTCACCGAAAACAATCACATAAATCGTAAAGACAATCGTAAGTATGACATACCGCCGACTCCTTGTCCTCGATGTCTTCGACACGGTTTCACCGAATATCATTGGAAACGTCAATGTCGACGACAGGAGCCGATCAAATCGCATAACAAATCGTTTGGGTGTTCCGGCAGTAGTCCGCGAATACCACAGATTGGTTTGTTCACCGTTAAGCGTGATATCACAAATCACACCGAAAAGAAACATCCACTAATACGACCACCTGTGACACCGATTGGACGTCTACCACAAGACAAACAACGACGGTTTGATGATAAACAAGACCGTAATCACCGAAACACATCACCGATTGATGTACGTGATCGCATTACCCGAAGGTCGCAAAATTCGGACAATATACGCAGTTTCGCGGCCGGGGAGTGTGTTAACAGCTGGCGCTCAACACAACATCATAAGCGGCAGCATTGCATTATTTCAACGACTCTACCGTTTCCGCAACAGTAGTAGTCGTTTAGCTTTCACAGCGTTTAGTCGCATATTTTATATTTAATAAAATCGTTTACTTTCATATAAAAACGTGTACTTATTTCGTATACTTTACCGAACCCGAGTTATTGGCCGCCTGATCAACGGCCACTCAACTCAATTGGCGCAGTCGACTGAGATACTTACCTACGCGGATATCGAAAGTAAATCGACTTCGACGACCTACTCACCGACACTTTTGAATTCAAAAAACAACGGTTTTTTGTCGCCTTAACGGCTCTCATCGATTCAACGGTTTTTTCGTTAATAAAGCGTTTTAAAGAAACGATACGAAGACAACGATGTCTCAACAGTTACGTAGTGGCCGCACACTACCGCCATTCATATATATATATATATCAACCCGATTTCCGATACACGAATGAAGACTTGTCGTCAATCGCTTCAGACTTGGAAGCATTGACCCGCGATATGACTAACGACCCGACACAGGATGGGTTAGCACAACGTCTGGCAACGCTGACCAGAGCTTACAAGTTACGAAATGTGATTAACAATCGCAATACGGCATCGAGTTTATCGACTACAAGCGTACAGAGATTGGACTCCGATGCCGATACCTTAACAACACGACCGCATAGTACCGTAAAACACGCTTCGAAATTATGTGAACCATTTATAGGCGGTTACTCCTTAACTCCTATCGACGAATGGCTCGATGGCTTCACCGCATTGACATACGCTTATAACGACTACGAGAGGCTGCTTGCGCTCGCCAAGCACTTGACCGGCGATGCCTTCAGTTGGTATTGTCGTGAAGTCGCCCGAAAACTTCCAAACCTGACCTGGGCCGAATGCCGATCTCTTATGATTGCGCGTTTTGGTCGTATGGTTGGTCACGGTCTTGTTGAAGCCTCCGACCGAAAACTCAAAGCTAATGAAAGCGTACTTACGTACTATCACGATATGCGCCGCCTTCTGGACGAAGCGCGCGCCTCCGATGAACAACAGATAGGTCTACTCACGAAGGGTATGCCCGACTATTACAGGCCGCTCATTGCCTGTTAATAGATTTTTGAACAACTATTTCGCTCATCATTTAAATCATTGAATTGTTATTTTTTGTTTCCTCCAAAAAAAATATCTTATAAATTGACTGTTTATTAATTAAAAAAAAATAAGTTTGTTATGTTTATTATTATATTATTATTTTTTTATTTTTATAATAATATAGAAATATAATATTTATTTATTTTTTTAGTTTGTGGTTAATATATATATATTTAAATAATTTGTTATACAATTAAAATATTTTATATTTCGACTAATTTTCTATAAACAAAAATTATTTTATTTTTTATAAATTTTGTGAATTTATAATAAATAAAAACAAATTTTTGTTTTATTTTTATCATAATTTGCAACAATTATATATTAATGTTATTCAATATATATATATATATAAAAATACTGTATATATAAATTACATTACATAATAATATGTAATATTAATATTGTACTATTATTATTGATATTATTATTTAATATAACATTTTTTTATTATTATAAATTTATATATATATATATATATATATATATATATATATATATATATATATATATATATATATATATATAGGTATATTAATAATATATTATATATTAATAATAATAATATAATTATAAATGTCTGAAATCATAATGAAAACTATTGGGCGGACGCGGATGTCCGACATTGAACGACCAGCGCCGGGCACTGGCATTCAGTGCCAGTTTCTGCGATAATATCATATTACCGGTTGACTTATGTTTTAAAAACTCGTCCAAAATTAGTTGTTTCTCACGACTGGCACCAACCATATCGGACTGTTCAACAAATTTCAAAAATCGGTTAAACGTTTGCGGAATACCCGACAAATTAAACGACTGGGCTATRGCCGCATCAAACCCTCGTAGGCCAGTCAGCACCCGTAGKACAGACTAAATAAATAAATAAATAAAGTTTTTTTAAATATTTTTTTTTAAATTTATAAACTAATACCTCATCGAAACCGAGAAATATTTTAAACAACTGTCCGCTGAGTTGTTGCTGAAGTAATTGCAATGTAATAATGTTTTCATCGGAATACTGATWATTAAATTATAATTATTAAAATTATTAAAAAAAATTTTAATTAATTAATAGTTATAATAATATTTAAACAAAAAAATAATATTTTTTATTTTACTTTTATTGCCGTCAATTGCGGTATTTGTTTGACGCCCTCAACAATGGCCACAATTAAGTTCACTATTTTTTTTAAAAAAGTATTAGTTAAAAAAAATTTTGAAAAAGTTATTAATTTAGTTAATTATTTAGTTAAGTTAATTAATTAATTATAAGTTTAGTTAATTAGTTAATTATATGTTTACTTATTTAGTTAATTATAAGTCTAGTTAATTAGTTAATTATAAGTTTAGTTAATTAGTTAATTATATGTTTAGTTATTTAATTAATTATAAGTTTAGTTAATTAGTTAATTAATTATAACTATTATTTATTTTATTGACTTACAATTAAGTTGACCAGTTTTTGGCGGTATATTATAGTAGATAAGCGGTGTATTGGGCGCCGCCTGGGCTATCAGTTTCATATAGTCTAACAGTTGACCAACACTGTTAGGTTTGTAATAACTGGGCGGCAATAATGCTATAGCATCCGTACCGATAGCTTCCGAATGTTTGGCCAATTGTATGGCCTCTTTGACGCACAGGGAGCTAACGTTGACAACACTAAGGAGATCGACACCCTTGGAGGCATTGATCGCCTGAGACCAGGCAGTGCTCAGGGCTAGCCGTTCATCGTTAGTCAAACTATAGCCCTCACCAGTAGTTCCCATCAAATATATACCGCGAACTTCATTATCAACTAAATACTTGATATAACCATCGATTTGTTTGACATCGATCTCACTGTCCATCAAAAGTGTTAATATAAGTATTAATTTAATACAAAAAAATCAAAAATTATACGAAAACCCTTGGCTATCGAACGGTGTGAATACCGGTGCCATTGGACCCTTGAATTGAACTAATTTTTGTTTTTTCGCCACCAATGATGATGAGGATGAAGATGATAGTGATGATGATGATGACAAGCACCGGGATATTAGTTCAAATACCTGTAGATTATTTGATTTTTTTGAGCAAACATATTGAGCTAATAATGACCTGGATACAATAAATTTGTACATTGCTATTTTAATAAAAAAACAAAATTAATTATTTAAAAAATAACAATTAAAATACTATAATATTGTATATTATAAATATATATTTTAATTTATGGTTATATTTATACTGTATATATACACACTCATTATTATTATGTAATATTGTTTTATATTTAATCATCAATTTATTTTATTTTATTTTTTTATTTTATTTTTGATAACCGTAAATTTATATGACAACTATAATCAGCAAGGTTGATTATTTAATTTTTTTAAAAAAGTTTATTAAATTTAATTTACTTAAGTATAGTAGTATTACTGTATTTATTACAACATTCATGTAATACTGTACTGTATTTTGAAGCAATTAATTAGTGATTATTATTATTATTATTATAAATTTAATTATTACTAAATAATACATTCAAAAATAATTAAAAATTTAATACTTTATTGTACAGTTAGTTAAGTTAATTGTTTTTTTAATTTTTAATTAATATTTTTAATGAAACTAATCTCTCTATCTCTCTCTCTCTCTCTCTCTCTCTCTCTCTAATAAAATAAAAATAAAATATATTTTTATATTTTCAATATAATAGTTGAAAACTCAGATTTAAAAAAAAATAATAATTTATATTTTAATTATTATTAATTATAATACAATTAAACAAAATAATAATAAAAAAATTGATATAATTTATTAAACAAATTTATTTCCCCGACGTTATTGATAACCGAACCCAATGTGCAATGTTTGCAATGATATTAATATTATTGAAAAAAACATATTGATTATATACAAAACCAAAACAATAATGGCCGTCCCATAATACAGTATTATATGTACTGTATATGCGCCCAATATTAGTGTTTAATACTTAAGGGGGTGGGCGTAGTTTTTTTTTACATTTCTATGTTAGGAATAGTTATTATACATACACACATATATATACATTATTTATGTATGTATACATATTAAGTATAATCTATTGTATATAAACACATATCTATGTGTTTGTGTGTTTGTGGCTATTGTTTTGGTTTTGATTATAATTCTAATCAGTCTATCATTGCATCAGAAATGAAGTCTAGTATTGAATTGAATTGAAAAATGCATTCAAAACTCAAAACACATTTTCATTGATAGAAAAAAGTGTCTATTATTTTGTTTTTTAGTGACCAAATCGGGTGACCATAATATCGGTAATATTTTTGTTGTTTCGGCCATATTATCGGTGATTGACTGACCTGACCAGACCATAAAAAAATGGAAGAATACGCCCGCGAGCCGTGTCCGTGGCGTATAGTGGACGACTGCGGCGGTGCCTTCACTATGGGTGCGATCGGCGGTTCAGTATTTCAGGCCATTCGCGGCTTTCGTAATGCACCGCAAGGCGTCAATCGGCGACTACTGGGTTCGTGGTCGGCGATCAGGAGTCGGGCGCCGATTATTGGCGGCAATTTTGCCGTATGGGGCGGTCTGTTCAGTACCATTGACTGTTCGCTGGTCCACATCCGCAAAAAGGAGGACCCGTGGAATAGTATTACTTCGGGTGCACTGACCGGCGCTATACTAGCCGTTAGAAGTTAGTAGACAACTGTGTGTATGTATGTGTGTGTGTGTGTGGGTGTGTGTGGGTGTGTGGGTGTGTGGGTGTGTGTGTGTATGTGTGTGTGTGTGTGTATGTGTGTGTGTGTATGTGTGTGTGTGTGTGTGTGTGTGTRTGTGTGTGTGTGTATGTATGTGTGTGTGTATGTGTGTGTGTGTGTATGTATGTGTATGTATGTGTGTATCTATCTGTATGTATGTGTGTATGTATGTATCTGTACTTATGTATGTGTGTGTATGTATGTGTATGTATGTGTATGTATGTGTATGTATGTGTATGTATGTGTATGTATGTGTATGTATGTGTATGTATGTGTATGTGTATGTATCTGTATGTATGTGTATACATATGTGTACATACATATGTGTGTGTGTGGACACAATCGGATGATTTGTTTGTTTTAATTAACCTATTGATTGATTTAGACTATTGTTTGCTAATTGTTTGACTACTACTACTTGTTGTATATACAGACGGAACGGGAGCTATGGTCGGGTCGGCTATAATCGGTGGCGTACTTCTAGCACTTATCGAAGGAATGGGTATACTATTTACCCGATACTCGTCGGAACAGTTTCGACCTATTCATCCACTGGAAGATCCCACACAATTAGGTCAGACACCACCTCCCGGTGCCAGTGGTTCAGCATTTTCCGGATCCGCTCCTCAATACCAATAGATATTAATTTTTAGAATATTTAAAATAAAATTTTTTTTAAAAAAAATAATACAAATATATTCAGTGGTTATATATGTTGTAAATAATAATATAAAAAAAATTTTGACAATTAGAAAATATTTAGTTTAATATTAATATTTTTTTTTTGTCATTTAAAAACATAGTATTTTTGTTAACAATTTTTTTTGTTGACATTTACCACTTAAAACATAAATATATTTAAAAAAAACAAATATTAGGATTTAATTATTATTATTTTTTTTAAAAATTGTAATTCATAATTAAACATGGTACACTTAATTAATTAATTAATTAATTAATGTGTATTATTAATATTATAATTAAATTATTATCTAATGTTATTAAAAAATACCAAACAAACTGATAGTTTTAGTATTTTATTTGTTATTTCGACAGTTTTTTTTGTCAATTTATATAACTCTAATAATAATAATTTTATAATAATTATAATAATTATAATTATTATAATTATTATTACTATTATTATAATTAAATTATCTAATGTTTAAAATATCTTCATCAACATATAGTTTAAGATATTTTTTTATTATTTCGACAGTTTTTTTGTCAATTTATATATTAATAATAATAATTATTAATATTATTATTAAATTATTTAATATTTAAAATACCAAACAAACAGAAAGTTTTAGGATTTATTAATTATTTTGAGTTTTTGTTTTTGTGTTAATTTATAACTAATAATAATTATTATTATTATTATTAGTAGTAGTAGTAGTAGTAGTAGTAGTAGTAAAATATTCAATGTTTTTAAAAATACCAAACAAACTGAAAAATTTAAGAAAATTTTAAATCAATTTATATAACTATAATAATAATAATAATTATTATTATTATTAATTAATTAAATTAAATTAATTTAACTCGATTGAAACATGGTCAATTTTAGTTCATCGATATCGAAACTGGCAAATGTTTTATCCTTTTTATTGACCGAATAATCGCCGTAATTATGGGCAAAACAATTCCAGTGACCGCCGTATTCGGCGTCCATTTTCGATCGCAATTCACTGGCAATTGATTTCAGTGTCTTATGTTTTCGGATGGCTGTCAACGATATATTTTCGACAAACTGTATCATCGATTCGGTCATATCGGTGTCGAACAGTCGGATTTTTGGTTCGACTTTGCCGTCCCGGAGCCGACGTTTCAGTAGCGGTACGTCCAACTTAATTACCAATAAATTAATTGATTGATTCAAACAGTTTTTTTTTGTTGAAAAATATATTAGTAATAATAATATGATTTTTTTAAAAAAAATTGTTATTAACATTAATAATAGCCCCTCTCCCCCTCCCCACTAACTCCGATTTTTTTAAATTTTAAAATCATGCATTTTCTATATGGGGGGGGCTATATCAGGCAAATACCTCCCGCCAGCCCCCCCCACATCTACTGGGGCGCTATGTGTGAAGTCGTGGAGGTAGAAAACGATTTGGGGGTGGGGTGGGTAAGGATAGTTCATTGTAATGTTAATTACAGATATTCAATGAAAAACTTCAATAGTCGGGGGGCAGGGGGCTATTTTTGAGTGAATTCATATATTTGGTAGTGGATGGGGGTGGGGGTGGGTTGGCTATATCTAACTTATTGCCCACCCCCACATTTTCACATATGGGCCACTGATTGCCCGAGGGTAGGGCCAGGGGGCTATAATTTAATAATTATTTTAGTAGACTACAGATTAGAGTTGTTATATAAATTATTATTATTATATATATATACAGATAATACCAATTAAAAGTTTAAATTTGACTAATTTATCATGTACAGTTAACTTTACACTAAGCAAGTTAACTTAGTAGTAATACAGTATTATTAGGAAAGTTATATAAAGTATCTTGCTAAATATATTACATAATATATTAGTCAAATTTAAACATTTTTTAAGTAGTATAAACTGTATATAATTTATATATCAATATATGTATATAGATAATACCAATTAATAGTTTAAATTTGAGTAATATATCGTGTACAGTTACTTTACTCTAAGCAAGGTAACTTAGCCAGTAGTATTATGTAAGTTATATAGTAAAGTACCTTGCTAAATATATTACATAATATATTAGTCAAATTTAAATACTTTTTAATTAGTATAAACTGTATATTACTTTTTATGCTATATATACTTTTTGGCTTTAGGCCAGGGGGGGGGGTAAATCAATCTCAGAGGGGGGGGTAAGATGGCCTTACCCCCACCCTTTTGCAACCCTGATATATATTGATCTATATATATATATATATATACTTACAAATTTAGTCCGATAGATTTTAAACGTCAATTTTCCAAACTTTAATTTAACAAAACAACTACTATTGGTATAGTTGTGACCCTGTTTATCGTAATTGGTTATCACGCACCAGGAGCTGCCCAACTCATGATCCAATTTATAGACAATATTCTGGCACATATAGTACATATTGTTGTTAGACTGTAGTTCCGATTTGACCACATCTACGACCCGATTGGCTACCGTATCATCCGTATTGGTTTCGGTAATGGACACCCGTTGCGATAAATGGCGGCGACCTTCGCGTATCATATCGTAAATTGTTGGCCTGTTTTGTGGACAGTTAGTAGTAGTAGTAGTATTGGCGTTAAGTGACATTGTTGAAAATGTCTTGTATAATCTTGATGATGATGATGATGACGATGATGGTGGTAATCCCTAAGCACCGGTAGATAAATAAGTTATTATTATTTTTTATTTATTTATTTTTTGGGTAACTAATTGACTGATTGACTAAATATTTATATTGCAAGTATGGGTATATATATGTGTGTATATATATGTATATATATATATGTGTGTGTGTGTGTGTCTGTATATATATGTATATATATATATGTGTGTGTGTGTGTGTCTGTATATATATGTATATATATATATACTAGTATATATATATATATGTGTGTGTGTATATATATACTAGTATATATATATATGTGTGTGTAAATATAGGTGTATGTATTATGGGATAGTATTAGGTTAGGGACAGGTATTAGACTTTCCATTAGTTTATATCTATTAGTTTATCTGATAAACTATATATATACATCCAATTTTTAAAAATTGACCATGGGCATAATTTGTAGATAAATTTTTTTTTAATAATAACAATAATTGTTCATTGGTCATTTTATTATTTTTGTTGTTGATTAATTAATAAAATTAACAAGATAATATCATAGCATCATCATCATCATCATCATCAACATAGATAATAGTTGATGCTATTATCTATCTACTATTATCATCTAGTTAATTTTACAATTAATTTTTTTTTAAAAATGACCAACTACAATTATTGTTGAGTTATTTATAAATTATTATCTATAAATAGATGACCTTGGTTATTTTAAAAATATATTTACAGCAATAACATTATTATCCTTATTATTATTAAAAGATAATTGTTGTTTAGTAGTTAACAATTGTTTACGACAATCGGCTAACTGTGCCCGCAGTTGATCGACTTGTTTGACTAGTTTAGACTTTTCATCTACAAATCGTACGGTCATTTCGTCCACTGCTTTGTTGAGGACGTCCTTTTCGTGCCATAATTGTTCATATTTTGTGGACTCTTTCCGATTGACTGCCATCAGCTCTTTGATACAGTCGTGACTGATATTGCATATACAGTAACATTTTGGACACAAACGCAAACTATAGGGACATTGGTTTGTATGATCCCGGAGCCGATCCAATGGCATCGACTCTTTGCAGCCGTTTTTCCAGTAGTCGCATGTGATGGTCATTTTGCCCAACAAATTGGTTAATATCCTATAATTGATAGATCAATATTTTTAATACATTTTTTCAAATTATTATTATGTGTGTATGTGTATGTGTATGTGTATGTGTATGTGTATGTGTATGTGTATGTGTATGTGTATATATGTGTGTGTTTAGTTATCAAATGTAGTTAACTAAATATGTGTTTTTATTTTTAAATATATATAWAACTAATAATTTATTTCAATAATTTTTTGTATATAAAATTTTAATTTGATTATCAGCTGAAAAATAATAATAAAATAAAAATAATTATAATATATCAGGTGATGACATAATRTATATATAWWTATCAACAATAAAAAAAATTAAAGGTYTACTAAATCTACAGTATATTTATAAAACATTATAAAAACTATAGACACTATTGTATTGTATTATAACASCTTTATCTGGAAATATAATTATCTAWTAAAATATACAATATATTTATGAAATTAGTAAAAAAATAAAAATTAAAAAATATCTTAWTTGTTAAWTGTTTTACTGTAATTAAAAAAAATTATTCATTATAAGTTAGTAATAATAATAATGCTAATAATTACTAATAATTAATACTAGTTTTACAATACAATTAATACAATTAAGTTAAAACATTAATAAAAACAAATATACTCAAAATATTAACTAATATATTAAATAATAAATTATTCTGTAATATTTAATATTTAATAATATATTTATATTATTATTATTATTTTTTAACTTAATATTATATATATACATATATATATATATATTTTTATTTATTATATTATATATATATGTATTACTGTATATATATGTATAAAATTAAAATTAACACATAACTTATCCTAACCATAATTATCACAACAACAACAACAAAAAAACTTACCTAGGTGCTGGTCTCAATTCGGTAACCATTAACGGTTGTCTATCATGTGGACAGTTAGCTTCCGTTTCTAGCCATTGATAAATACAATCTTTGCAAAATGTTTGCAAACAACAGTCAACCACYACTGGATYGCATAGTATCTCCCGGCATATACAACAAGTTAGCTCCTGTTTCTCATAGTCGCCCAGTSCMACAAATCTACCCTTTTCATAGCCGGGCATTATTATTATTATTAGTACAGTATATATATATATACAGTGTATTTAATTAATGGTCAAATATATATATATATATATATATAAACAAGCAAACATGTTGTAATTGTATTTATTTTTTATTATTATTTTTTTTTGGTTACATATTATATAACAAACTTRTTTAAAATTATTWAAAATCTATATATAAAAAWTTGTTTAAAAATAAAAATTACATTTTATTGTTGTTGTTGTTGTTTAATAATTAAACTWCAATACAGTATTATACTATATATATATACAGTATATTCAATGTCTACTTTAGATAAAATATTTTTTTTTTTTGATAATAGCAACTATTATTATAGCAAACTTTTGTGTATTGTATTAGTTGTTTGCTAAAAAGTTTAATGTATTTTATTTGCTAACAAAATATTAGTTGAGATATCATTTAGGTGGTGGTAGTCATTACACTAACTGTACGTATAGTTTAATATAATTATTATTATTATTAATACTATAGTTAKTARTAKTATTATTATTAGAGAGTAATATAAATCAATGATTTATAGACTGTGACACAAAAACAACAACATTGTAAGCAATACTGTATATAAATTTAGTTAACAGTATAAATATTTTAACTAAAAATAAATTAATTGATTATTATTAATAAAACTTTAATATAAATAATTTAATTGTATAATTAATACAATAGTTTTTATTATAATTAATTAAAAAATGCAAATTAAATTTTTAATTTWTCTAAAAKGTTTAKTTTAGTTGTTTAAAAAAATTAATCACTACTAAAATATCCTTGAACAATTTAATATACTGTACTATCTTTTTTTATTTATCAAAATATTGAGCTATCAATAGAAAATAATAGCAGAAATAATAATAATAAAAGTTTTTAAATAATATGATATCATTATTATTATTTTTTTTAGTGTTATTTATATATAWTATTATTAAACATGTATATAAAAATAAAATTTATATATATATTGATATAGTAATACAATTGAATTGAATTACATAGAGATTTAGCAATAAATTATAATTAGAAATTTATTTTTGCMATACAATACTGTTTTTATTAATATATATATATAMAKTATATATATATGTACACTATATTGTAGTATAACTGTATGTAGATATTAAGTATATTTTAAAACAAATTAWATATTATTCAAAAAAGTTTTTAGCATTTAAATTATTTGAAATTTTWTATTATAAACAAATCACTAAATATAATGTAAGTGTAATATGTATTAAAAAAAWTTTGTGATAATTTTAATTTAATATACATTTAGTATGTTTTGTATATTATTCATATATATTAAAAAATMTATAAATCTAATATTATTGCAATATTTMATATATATATATAWATATATTGATTTTTTTARTAAGCTAGCTTTTATCAACAACAACATAATTTTATTGATAAAATAAATTTTATATTTATATTAAMAACAATATATATTTCATATATTATATATATATATATATATATATTAAYATAMAAATTAGTRTACTATTAATGTTATTACTTATTATATTTTGTTGCTAAGCGYAAGTAATACAATAATTTAGTTTTATATATWCCGATATATATATMATTTTTCAATAACAATTTAATTTAATTTGAATATATATATTGATATAATAAGTTAGTTATTTGTAAATAGAAAAATATGTATGAATTGTTTTTTTTATAAATATTATAAATTGTATAATATTTTTTGAGTACAATATAATATATTTACAATATATAAAGTTTTTTGTTTAGATATATTTAAATTAGTTAAATTAGATATATATATATATATATATATATATATTAAATACATGTATTTGTTARTAAAATAATATATCTAGTAATTATTAATAAACTAAATTAACTGTCTCATAATTAGTGTAAATAATATATATATATATATATATATATATATATATATATATTTATTAATGTATGTATTATAATATTTAAATAATAATTTTAAATAGAAATTCTATATTTTTTTTAAAAATTAATTTTAAAATTTTAACAATGTTAGCAATATTGATATAATAAAGCAAAAAATAAAATTATAAATATGAAAAGATAAATAAAAATTTAAAAAAAAACTTAAAAGTTAAAAAAAACATTTATTATAAACATTATTAGAGACAATACAATGAATATATTTTAAAAACTAAGTTACAGATTATAGATTGAATTTAAAAACTATTAGATATTTCTAGAAATAGATATTAATATAATAATAGATATATAATTAAGTTATTTCTTGGAAATAATTAAAAAAAAAATAAATATTATATATCTAA